TTTTCCGTTCGGGCGGCGTAGCCGCCCGAACCCAAGCATTACTGTCAATACACCCCACTGTCTACATGGGTTATAAATATTCCAAGCGAACAATGTCTAAGCACTACTACATACGTTTAATTTATTTTATAGCATTAATTTCAAATTTCGTGCACATAGTCGGTATGACAGATTTCCTAACCTGCAGAGTCGTCAACTTTAACGCTAAATATCTCGGTTCGCGAGGCAGAGCGACACTTTTTTCTGCCAGATTCTTTCGTTTTGTGCAAAAACGCATCGAATAAGCCTAATTTCATCGAAATCGGAGGTGAGGGAGGTATTCTGAATAATTACCACTTTTTTCCTTCGATATCTTAAATGTGCAGGAAATTTATAGTTTTTTTCGGATATATACAGGATGAATGTTAATGCATGTCTGTATAATATCTTTTAAATTATTATAGTGAGTTATCGATTGTAGCTGTGATCATCTAAATAGTTGCATAGATGGCTATCGCTTAGACAGCCATCATTATAAACTCAAAAAGAATTCACTTTTTTAAATTCTTTCTTTGAATTTACGAAATCTTTCAAATAAAGTCTGAAAAGAAGTCTATGCCGTTTAGATGATTACAGCTGCAGTCGATAACACACTACCCATGATAAAAGATACAGACATGCATTATTCATTCTGTATAATATATACACAGGATGTCTGATAATTAACGATAAAACTCGCATAGCGGCAGAAATGGACTAAACTGAGTCCTCTACCATTTTGCAATTTTCGCAATAGTTAATCAGATATTAATTACTAAAAATCGCCGAATATTGCTTTTCAATAATTTTTTATTCAAATACTATAAATTTTACAGAAAAACAGCAATTGAGACAAAAATTGTTTATTTTCTTTTCATAAAGTTCTAAGAATTTTTTCAGAATTTTTTAATATCGTATTTTCTCATGTTGGTAAAATAGTCGTTAATAAGAAAATGCAATACTAAAAAGTTGATAAAAAATTCTGAAAAAATTCTTAGAGCTCTAGCAGAAGAAAATAAACAATTTTTGTCTCTTGCTACTTTTCTGTAAAATGCCGCCCGCTTGCATTTGACGGTAATCCGAGCCAATTTGGCTATTTTCGTAAATTAATATCTCGTTAACCATTGCGAAAATTGCAAAATGGTAGAGGACTTTTCGACTCAGTTTAATCCATTCTGCCGCTATGCGAGTTTTATAGTTAATTATCAGATACCCTGTATATACAATATGCAGCAAAATTTCAGAGTGTAAACAAACCATTTATTCATTGCATACGCCTATGGTCTGTTTTCTGTTCCTACACTAAACTGCACTAGAACCCTCTTTCTCACTTTCGATAAATATCAAACACACACACACGCACGCACGCACGCACGCACGCACACAGATCTCATTTTAAGGCCGGTATTCAGTCAGTTCTTATATTCAAGACCGTCTTAAGTTCAGTCTTGAGATGTCACGAATCAATCAGAGGGCTGTATTAGCATCTTAAGATATTATTTAAGACAGTCTTGAAATAAGATCTGACTAAGAATACCGGCCTAAGTTCCAAAAGTGTACACTAGTTCAGCCACAGAAAACAGACCTATAATTACACAACTTATCAAACTGAAAAAACTGCAGAAGAAGGAATTGAAGATCTCACGAATTAAGATGTTTATTATTTATATCTATAACTATTTATCGGAATTTTTACACCCCGGATCTATTTGTGACGCACTTTGGGACTTGGACATCTCGTTCACTAAAATTTTGAGTTGCTTAATTCTCGAATGCATTCGTGGCTCTTCCTGTGCCATCGCTTGACGCAATATCTTCGCTGTAATATTGTGAGCTTCCGCCGAATCTGATATTGGTATCATTGATATTCGAGATGTTGATTTCTCATAGACCGGAAGATACGATTTAATGTTTTTTGATTTAAATTTGTTTTGATGTTGATCGGTAGTTCTCTTGATATTTAAACTATTTGAAGCCGGCTTCATTTCTTCACATGGTTTTCTGGGCGCTATAGGTATAACCATCCTACCCTTGCAAGTTTTATCGCCCTTTTAATAATCAACAAATGCATTCTAAATGATGATATGAAAACACATACAATCCCTGGTGAAAAAATTTTACTGAAAGTATTCTACGTTTTGAAACATTTCAGCGAAATTGCTGAAAATTTGCTGAAATTTCACTGAAAGTGAATTTTTCAGCTAACATATTGAAAAATCGCTGAAATTTTTATTGAAATTTATCTGAAATTTTGCTAAAATTTTACTGAAAATTTTTCAACTAAAAGTCGCTGAAATTAAACTGAAATTTTTCTAAAATGCTGAAATTTTGCTGAAAAATGTTCCAAAACGTAAAATAATTTTAGCGAAATTTTTCCATCAGGGACACATTACAATTAATTATGTTTATAAAAATATAAAATATAATATTTTTCTTTTTCTTCTTAATTAAGCTGTCAATGACTTTTAAATCTGGAAAAATAGCATTGAAAAGTGTAATTGAATGACAATCTTGCGTTTCGCAGGTTTTCTCCGTGTCCAGATCCATTCTTGGAATGCCAACGTTTCGTGAACCTTGCAGTCCACTTCATCAGGGCGAGGAGCAGCTTGATACTGAAGTATTGCCCTGATGAAGTAGACTGCAAGGTTCACGAAACGTTGGCATTCCAAGAATGGATCTGGACACAGAGAAAACCCACGAAATACAAGATTGTCATATAGGAAACATCCGTGGAAGCCTCAAGAATATTAGTGTAATTGAATGTTCTTTGCTACCTCAGGGAAACCTTCTACCATCGCCTTGTTCAGCAAAACAGCTCTGGGCAGTTTGTACGAGGGTGGTGGCTTAGGTCGTGGTTCTGCGCATGTAAATTTCGTATTTTTCGATTTAATCAGATCGATGTAGATCACATTCCTAGATACCATCTGATAACGCAAATTCTTGGAATGCGCCTGTTCTTGACAATTGGTTAGCTGACGAGTACAAGGACTCTTTGAGGATTTCTTAGGACCAAACACATATTCCCAGAGGGACAATTTCTGTTCTGCAAGTTCCTTCTTTTGTGTCGATGACGCTCTTTGAATGTTCGAAAAACATGTCTTTTTACTTAATCCTGTTTAGATATATCGAAGTAACCATGTTAGAAACACACAGAGCTTCTTTTTTTTAATTTTATACAATATGATCCATAAATCTTTTTAATAAATTTCACCATAATGCTTAGGTGTCTTTGATAGAGTTGATATTGATCGTCTGTTACAACTCTCGATAATATTTTTCTTTGAACAGACAGACTTGGCGTAATGCCACGATTGTTGCCACAAGAAGGGGTTATATTTGTTCTTCTGAGAATAAATTAAAAAAAGATTAATCATACTGTTTACATACAGATCCCAGTCAGAAATGTAGAGTTGAATCAAAGTTGATTCAACGTCGATGTGGTTGACAACGGGTTGAGTCGATATAAAATCGATATTCCTGTAATTGACATAGTTGATTCGACGTCGAATTAATGAAAAACTAATATCGACATTGATTTGACGTTGAATCAACAACTTAGTAAGAAATTATAACTCTATTTTATTATATATGTATATACTATATATATATAATGTTCTTATATATATATATTTTATAATATATATAATGTTATAATGTTCTTTTTGATTCCTTACAGTGTGTACTGACGAAGATTATAAGTATAATTAAATAAATGTTATATACGTATAATGATATAAACTCGTCAGTAGTGCACGCGAAACGTGCGCCTATTATGTCCGGTAACATTATATATATAAATGGTGTATTCCTTAACATAAGTAATGAAAGAAATAAAATTGGTTCTTTTCCTCACTTTTCAATGTGCGTAATACATTTTTATATACTGTGAAAAAATAAAATCAACCTTATTTCAACCTAATTTCGATTTTCGACCTTAAATCGATGTCGATATGATATAGTTGAATAGCCGTTGATATTTTATACACGATCGACGTCGAATCGATCAGAATTTCGACATTCCGTTTTCGATGTTGATTCGATGTCATATCAACTCAACATTTCTGACTGGGATATTAATCAAGATTAAGTCTTAATAAGTTTAATAAGAGTAAACCGAAAATTCGGAGTCTGGACCGAAAATGTGCCATTGAGGATTAATAATGTTTTACTTTCACAATCACATGTTAAATAAAATATATATGTATGTTCTGATATGTACTATTTATATGTATATTTAGCAACGAAACAAAAAAAACCGATGTGAACTTCGTAGTGCAAAATACTCATAATTTTTTTAAAAATTCAAAAAAGATATAAATTATGTGTGTGTGTGTGTGTGTGTGTGTGTGTGTGTGTGTGTGTATGCACCAACTAGAAAATAAAATGTACTCGCCAAGTTTTATAAATATTCACTTATAAGTACTATCAAAAAAAGATCCTCAAAAATTTAAACCTTTAAAAATTTAAATGATTATCTAAAATAATATATTACTTTGAAAAGTAACTGATATATTATTAAAATAAAGGTGCCAGTTCAAAATGAACATACATAAAGTGTATATTACCTAAATTTAATAATATATTACCATGAAAAATAATTGATATGTTGTTCAAGGTGCAAGTTCAAAATGAAAATACATATAAGTAAAACAGATTACAATTTGATTCTAGAAAATAAGTGCGATATGTTATTCTTAGTGCACAAAATATAAAAATCGTTTATTGAGATTTGATTTGAAATTTATACTAGCCCGTACAATGAAAAATAATTGCTTGTAATTCCAGAGTACCAATTTCTTAATGACATGTTCTTTTTCCGAGTCTTCTTTCAATCGCGACATGATTTGCGATAAATCAATCGGTGCGTCAATCTTACCAAAATTTTCCAGATCTTTCATCGCGTCGTCAGCTTCTATCGGATTGCAATCCAGTCCATCAAATTTGTCTCTGTCTGCTGCTTTCAGATCATTTTCGCGCTTCTCAGCAACGTTCTCAAAAGTTTTCTATATTTCTTCGACCCTTTCGTGATATTTCATTGCCTTCGTCAAAGCAGACGCTGAATTCTTAAAGACATCCGTGTAAGTCTGGTATGCACCTTTGAGTTCACTCAAATCTCTCCACGGTTTAAACAGAAGAAGCAGTGAGTAAAAGTATTTTTTGGGTTCAGTTATTACATTAAAAATAGATAATGGTTAATTAAATATTTTTTTCATTTTTTTAAACATAATCCCGATACAATAAAGTTTGTAACATTCGACTTCGTCATTTTTTTGCAATTTTGGCACCTGTTTCGTAATTTCCCAGATTTTGGGAAATCGTACAAATTCAATGATTCTAATTCCTTAGGTCTGTTTGGATAGTAATCATCGATAAACCGCGGACAATAAATATTCGTAGAATTTTCATCGAGAGCTTTAATTTCATTGAATGTGTTTTAACTTTTTTGTTTCTCATCTCATTAACGTCAATCCATTTGACAGTGTCCATTTATCACTGTCCGTATCATACAATACAAGGGATTCCCTAGTAGTATGTCCGCAGCTTCTAAAGCACCGCATTTTCTGTTATTCAATGAACGCAAATTCCACAGTTTCGATGCCAAGGGCGCCAAGGGTTTATTGGAATCTATCATTGCAAAGTCTATATTGCATTTTTCCGACTTTGTCGTGTATTTTGTTAAGTATGAGTTTAAAAACTCTGATGTTTCTCCAATAAATTGTATGTCCATATTTCCCTCCCAGATTAATTTGATAGCCGGATTGTAATTATTGTTAAACGGTTTCTAATATGGCTGTCCGCGACCCATTATCGTTGTGGACCGCGAAGAGGCAGCAGAGGAGACGG